TTAAAATTTAAAAATTAAATAGAAAAAGGCAGATTTCAAAACATGCAAAATAGACTCCATTGAGTCCATTTTCATTACGAAAATGTGTTACACCAATATTTGTTATTAAAACTTCATTAGACAACAGCCTGGCGGCTGCCTCGATTATGTAAAATTATAGTAGTTCCCTTCGGTTTCGGAAAAAATGGAATGGCAGCAGCTTCATTCCTTTGTGGTAAAAAATCTCGAAACATACGCAGCCAGGTGTGAGGCCTTTCGGCCAATCAGAATGCAGCGAGCGAGGAGAGCCACGTCGCACAGTTTGGTTGCCTATCTGCACTAGTCCCAGGCCAGTATCTGAAACTGGGCCTGGGTGCAGACACTTTGGCCCGGCTGGAGGATACTGGGCCAAAGACCTCGCCTGCACTTTCCATAAAGGAAAGTGCTCGGCCCCAGCTAGCCACGCTGGCTTTGCACTTGCTGGCGGCCACGATGCCCAACTGGGTACTGAGGGCTGCCGCTTGCGAGGCTGGGGCGCACACGGGGGCTAGTGGAGGAGTGGGCACTGCCAGAGGGCAGCGGGCGCAAGGCATCCATAGCCAGGCTTGCCTTACGGTTGCCAGTTTTTGGCGGTGGTGGACTTCGGGGGAAGGGAGATGCATGCTGTGGGGGGGACAAGGTGTAGGAGTGAGGGGAGAAGAGACACATACCTGGTGCATGCAGCAGTCTGCATGGGTGACTTCTTCATGTACTTCGGTCTTCGGCTGGAAGTAAGACCTGGTTGCACCGTCATTAGTGGTAGACTAATATATGGTTCTGAGTAGTGGTAGGCCAGGCGCTGAGCGCCAACCAAGAAGAGCGGCATTGGATACATTGTTGATGGTGGCCAGTTGGGGCTACATTGACATTTGAGTTCATTGCATTGCCCTTATTTGGGTTGTATCTCAGTGCATTCTTCGTTCTGCTTGGGACACGACTATCTGATCTTCAATGTGATGTTGCAATTGGTTTTCTGTCTGCCACTCTCACCCAATTTCCTTGCACATGGGACAGGCTCGAATAAAAGAGCTCCTCAAACTGAGAAAGGATGCAGTCTGCCTCAGCGGGTGACTCATCTCCGTGGGTACTTCAAGATCTCTGCACGGGTTCGAAGTGCATGGGTGGGTGTGGCTGGGTGCCGGTGGGGGTGGTTGGGTGGGTGGGTGAGCGTGTGTGTGTGCGTGTGCAGGTGTGCGTGAGTATGTGTGTGCGTAGCGTCCAAAAAAGGGTGGGGGGCCAGAGACCGTGTGTTTGGACTGCTGGGGGTCTTTTGTGTGCTGAGGGGGCTTCGCCACCAAAAGAGATGAAAACGACAGACAAAAGCCAGGGTTGAGCCCGGCGATGGATCCAAACCAGAAGGAAAAACGCAAGGCCAGGGTTTGAACCCAGGCCCAGATCTTGGCCGCCGAAGGAGAAACACAATGCAAAACAAACAACAACGTGATGCGACTGCAAAGAACAGAGATGGCAAAATCGACAACCAGCATAGCACACCCTGAGTTTAGAGCAGGCATATGGCAATAGCAAAGGAACAACGCCATGATTGACAATCATCACGGACCACGGAAAAGCAGTATGCGCGGCCAAGGACATATTGCACCGAACAAAACAACACCCACTACCCAAACAACGATCGGAAGGCCCCTAGGACACGAAAACCAAGAAAGGCACCTGCGAGCCATTTGGCTATATTGTATTGGAGAGTACCTATGAAATGGACACACTAGGAACAATAAAGGGTCAGGCTAGACGTCTAACACACCCAGAGTCCACAGGTTTCAGACCTTCAAGAGGTTATCAAGCAACTCTTAGGTAGATCGAGCTGAATAGGAAAAGGGTTGGAGGAGGGTTAATCCTTCCCATTGGGGAGCAATCAACCACCCCCCCTCAGGATCCCTTGGCCATAACAGAGGGGGAAGGATTGGGTGAGGATTGATGTGATGGACGCTGGACCCAATTCCGAGCACACAAAACTTTGGTTAATGCAGAGCACTCAGTCAGGAATTCACAAGAAAACATGAAGGAGACTTACTTTGCGACCTCTCCTTCCCCTCACACATACATGCACTTTCCCAATAACTTACATGTCAAGCACATCCCCTTGTTGAACCCATCTCGCAGGGTCTGCCACATGTATCCAAAATCGCCATTGGCCATCTTCTAGCATTTCTGCACTGAGCCCATCGTCGATCTGTGTGGCACATGACACCAAAAACAACAATGACATTGATCGTGAACTTCGTCTTCCTTCACGAGCTAGATTGTCCGGATTTGAACTCACCTGTTGTGTGTGTGTCACACTTTGCATACCAGTCTCCCGCTAACCAAAAATATTCTTTCTCAGATGTCGGGAGATCCGCAATTCTGCTATCGTGTGGGGGGGAGGGGGGCGCGCAGTTAGTTAGATTGCTCTCTCTCTCTCTCTCTCTCTCTCTCTCTCTCTCTCTCTCTCTCTCTCTCTCTCTCTCTCTCTCTCTCTCTC